GGCAAACAGGCTCCTGTTTGGGTTAGTACCATTCACGGCCAGTCAGACCTAGTACGCCTTGAAGACAACCTCGGGTCTGCCTGAAACTGGTCGATCCCTCTTGAGGGACGGCTCATCAGAGGGGACTTGGCGATATGAAGAGAAGCTGCGCTTCGAAGAAACCCCTACTAGAGTGGTGCTTGTGTACATTTTGGTTCGTTTGAAGAGCGGCTAGAAGAGATAATTCGTAAATTGGTCTTTCGACGGGTAAGGAAAATTGTCTTGGAACTATGAACGCTTGATTCTGCCAAGAAGAAGACCTCGGCTCATCGTCTTGCTGATATTTTGTCCATCATGCGACGGATAGCATCAGAATCAGAAACCCTCATTTAAGAAAAATTCAATAAAAACACGGAACTAACTGAAATCTGTTCTATTTTACACATAAAGGCAGAGTTTCGAGACTACCAGTAAATCAGTTATATGAAATGTATTAACCGTACTTCTTTTAGGGTGATGAAAGACTGGTAGTAGAATTTCTCCACAATTGTTGTAGCAAAAATACGTTTGTTTCGTCAACAGTCTTGCCAGGGAATGTGATATGGGAAAAGGCCTGGCCTTCTTAGAAATTCACATTTGCCCTGTGACCCAAGGGCATCGTGCCAATGTGGCTGAGTGGTCAACGTGACGAGTTTACACGTTGCATTGCCATAGTTCGACTACTGCTTGGGGTGTTGGTAAGACCTATGCGAGGTGGAAACTGCAATCCAATTCTGCCCAGATGTGAACAACTTTTGGGAAAACAGAGCTGTGTGAAAGTGAATCGAAACGTCAGCTCTACTCACATCATGATTGTGGGAAAATTCTACTACCAGTCCTTCATGATCTAAAACGAAATAGGGTGAATACATCTCATATAAGTTAGACAATGCCGGCTGTGCATGGCCCTTGTGGAACAGCGTTCGAAGTCTGTCTCAGCGACAGCTTCTGTTCCGCTCAGGCTGGTCCAGCAGGTCCGAGGGGAATCGAGCTTAGCTCGAGGCCTGCGAGAGGGCATATAAATGCCTTTTCTAGTTTTCGCGCACATCCAACCAGAGCTGCGGAAACGTCAGATCCTGGCGTATCATTTCAACTTCACAAAAAACACTAAACCAAGAAAGGTGGCCATTCAAATTATGGAAAACTGTACTCACTTCAAATATGTTGTGGCAAGCAGGCACGATTTCTGCCATATGAGATGTATTCACCGTATTTCGTTTAAGGTGATGAAGGACTGGTAGTAGAATTTCCCCACAATCATGATGTTAGTAGAGCTGACGTTTCTATTAAATTTCACAGAACCTTGCCTTCCCAAAAGTTGTTCTCATCCAGGCTGAAGTGGACCACAGTTTCAACTTTGCAGAGTTCTTATCAACGCTTTTAGCGGGAGTCGAACCGTGACACTACAGCACATGAACTTGGCACGTTCACCACTCAGCTACATTGTCACAGGGCAGATGTGAATTGCAACTTAGGCATCTCTGTAGGAAAACTGTGCTTCTAAAAATCCCTCAATAGATTGACGGTGGACTCGAAACTCGACTTATAAACGAAAATTGCCTTTTATTTCGTTTGAAGAGGCGAATGGAAGGGTTC